GTTTTTATAATAAAACAAATAAAATGATTGTAGCTATGGTAGCCTACCGTGATTAAAAGTTTCACATTAACTTATGCTTAAACGATGCGAATTTATAAATTAATTTATGAAACCAATTTATGCCGCTTAGCTGCTACAAATATCCCGTCATACACATTTTCTATTAACCTCATAGCCAAGCATATTTTATAAAAAAAAATGTAATCATATTCAAATGAATAATTAGTTTATTGCTTGTGCAAAAACGGGAAAAACCGGCCATGCTCTGAATATATCGGAAAACATAACATGTTTCCAAAACACTATTTCGCGAGACTATGTCATATGAGTAGGCGATGGTAAAGGTATAGCTGCCGGCTTTTCCATTATCTGTTGTTCAACCAATTTTTGTATTGTAAGTGCACATACCGGTACTACGAAAATTTCCTCAAATTTCAATTTTTTATATTTAAATATTGTCAATTTCAAGTTGGGAGCCCATGCAAAAATACTTAATTTTCACGACTTTTTCAACGTTTTTTCCCAAAAAACCTTTCAAAGGCAGCGAAAAAATAAAACCAGATACATAATTAGTATAATTAGTATAGCATGGGAAAAGCTGCAGCTAAAGATAGCAATTACAAGAAAAACTTTGTAGTCATATCAACGATTTCGATTTACGATAGGTACGACGAGATATACTTGTGATCAAAGAAATTAATACTAACCTGGCTGTTCGATACGTTTTCCCGTTTCTTGGTTGCTTACAAGTCGTGTTGTAAGCTGTTAAGAGGGCTTCGAGAAACGACTGTGTGATTGGCCCCCTTTTGGGCGATATCAGTCGTCACTGAAGGTGATTGAGGCTTTTTCTTTTCCTCAGGTGTTGGCGACGGAGGTGTCGTTGTCATCCTAACATTTTTATGTTCATGCCGAGAGGCGATCTAGAACTTTCCTCGAACGTTCTCTGTTTTTTCGGGCTTATCTAATTTCTGCATATCATCACCATCGTGACTGGACATTGCGCCTTCACCATGTTTCTGGTTCAGTAACCCCATTAGTTTTTATCGCAAAGGACATTTTAAATAATTTCACATGAATATCAAGGATTTTTTCCTCTTGTCTCTTAGAAGATAACGTTTTTTGTGCAGTCTTTTCGAGCAGATCAAAACTTACAAATTGAGATCGCGAAAATGAACAATAACAATGAAAATTGCCGTTTTTGTTCCTTTTCATTAGTGTTGTTAAGCTACAAATGCGTTATAGCATTTTTTGTATTAAATGTTTACGATCTTAGATCTTAGAAGTGGCAACGCATTTGCAATAGAACAAATTAGCTTTTTTATATTGGAAAACGGCGTTTGTAGATTACGGGCAAGTTTGGAAGAATGAAAAATGATGGATTTGATGAGATTTGAGGAGATTTCATAAATGACCTTAGGCTTCAAATGAACAAAACACAATTGAGGAAGTGTCTTGTATATACTAGATAAGCATAAACGTAATTATAAAATGATGTCCAAAATATAATGAGACTTATCGTGCCCCTAAGGATGACTGGTGGATTATAATTTTTAATTGGGTAGCTTGTTGAGAAAAAGAACTGAAACTTTTGGTTTTTAGTTTTAATGTGATCGCTATATTATTTTTAATTTGCTATATTGGAAAATGTGGCCAAATCGGCCGCAATTGAAACACTGTTTAACGGCAGGGATAAAATAGTTCACTGGAACAACACAGTAAATGAATTTGATGTTTTTGGGGATTAATTTTCCCAAAAAGTCAATCTTCATGCCTTTTTTTAGCTCGTGACGCAAACGATCTCAACTTCAGAAATAGCAGAATTCAAAAAATCTTCCTCCTTAATTGAAGGAGGGGTATTTTTTACAAACCCGAATTTTTCAGCAAATTATTAAAATAAAAAATTTACTTTTTAAAGCTTTTATTTTGTGGTTACTTTGCTGCTGTCGTTTTCTTAATTCATCTATTTTGTTTCACATTTATTTTTCAAGTTCTTGAATTTAACGCAATTTCTCTCTCTTTTCCTATCTCAATTTATCTCTCTTTTCCTATCTCAATTTATCTTTCTTTTCCTATATCACCATGGTCAAAATTGCCGACGGTCTGTTTAGTCCGCTTTTTAAAGAATATCCCGAGTTATGGGATCACACTAGAGGGAATAATTGGTGCAGGGCAACCTGCAAGAAATTAGCCGACCGCTTGACGCAGGAAATTGGGGACTAAGTGACCACTCATGACGTAATTAAAAAAATTTATGCAATCAGATACAGCTTAAAAAGGGTTGACAGAAGACGGGGCGGTCAGACCAGGATGACCGACTACACCTGGTACGCCAGGAAATTGGGACTGGAGTGGGCGGTGCGGACTATTATGGGACATATCCGTGACTGTAGAAATATGGAAATTGACAGCGCGGACGGGGAACCCTTTTTAGGGTACGACTTAGAAATAAATCATGAAATAGGGGGGGGGGGGGACAATATAAATGACATGACAAGACCGGTAGAAATGGGGAGGGAGGGAGAAGAAAGAGACAACTTAATGGAGACTGCCGATAACGAACCAACGACCATGCTGTATTTGAAAAGTCCCGACCTTTTTAACAATGATAGTGATGTAATCGGCCCTTCGACATCGGACCATGCGGTGCAAGAACCTAATGCCGATAAGGAGCAAGCCGACGCGGATAAGCAAAAATATGAAAATCGAGTTGCAGCGTACGCAGCGCAGCTGAAAGAGGCCGACGCGGATAAGCAAAAATATGAAAATCGGATCGCAGCGTACGCAGCCCAGCTGGAAGAAGCCAACGCCGATATGGAAATGCTAAAACGTCGGATTGCAGCTTTTGAAGCCTAGCTGGATACCCAACCTGATAACGTGGTGGCGGACATAGAAGAACTTCGGCAAGTCGTCAAGTGTTTGACGACTGAAGACAAAATAGTACAAATGTCTTTCGACGAAGTATTCACAACAAACTGGCAGTGTATTCGCGGAGGACCGATACGCTAATAGGATGCCAATACGTCGACGACAAGCAGAAGGAAACCTGCCCGCACAAAACAATGATTGTCTTCGGCGTAAGAAGCCTGGCGACGGCTTTGAACCTCATTTTAAGGGTAAACCCTCCCCCTCCCCCTCCCCCGTCAAAGTCCAATGCTTTAGAAGAATTAATTTTGAAGAACATAGACATGGCAAAACAAATTGGGCTGGACGTGCGGGCTGTAGTGTGTGACCGGAATAAGGCGTATAATTCGTTGAAAATGCCTTGTGATGCCTGACTACTGGCTGTGGACCTTCGAGAAATATTTGTGATAGTCGTGGTCTTCCTATTTTCGAGGGCTTTAAATAACTAGACATGTAATAGGCCTTTGGGACTCCAGTCTTGAAATAGGCCCCCTTACCTGTGGGCCGGGAGGTGCCCGCAACTGTTGATAAATTCTATGATAACGCTACGGGTCATCTAAATTTGTAATTAATTTCAACATCTTTATGTCTTGTCTTAAGGCAAACTATTTCAGGCAGGCATTTATTCCGTCTGCTGGTGTCAATCGCGGAGCTATATGTACTATTTGCCTGAAATCTCCTGCGAACAATGTTAATACGTTACCAAATACCCTGGTGTTTCCAAGCAAATCTTTCAACAATCGTTCAAGAGTCTCGAGCGTTTTTTTGTACGCTATTGTGCACTCATCGTTAACAATATGTTTGCATTGCTGTATTACGTTGTCGGATGCTTTGGAAATGTTGCATGAGCAGCGGCAATTTCAAGTCTTTCAATCAAGTAGCAATGTCGCAGCAATACCAGACGAATCAAAAACTGAGGTTATGTCATTTTGGGATCAAATCTCTGGCTGTTTTTATCAGTTCTTCCTGGCGCATTTATGAAGAACATTTTCCCAATTCCCTTATTGGAATTTTGCTCACACGTTATCTTAGAAACATTCGATTACTCACATACGACGAAAGATCGGCCGTATTGTAATTTCGTTCACGACAGAATTGTACATCGAAAGAAGCATTCATTGAGGATTTTGTCCGCGATTTTTAAGCAAAGATTTGCAGCCTTTATCAATGCTTCGCTGTGCATTTCTTTCGCAAAATCGGTGTTCGCATTTTCCGGGCGTGTTTGCCAGGAATTATCTTCATCGTTATGCAATTTATATTTTTCTTCTAACAATGTTGGACAAGACGAAGAGCAGCTGGCCAAAACGCCTCAAATTGAATAACGAATGAATTTCATTTGGATGTGGCATAGTCTGGTTGTTGGTCGTTCTCCATTAAATTTAGCTTAAAATGAAGTACAGAAAGCGGCATGTGTAACGCCGTGAAAAAGAGTCCAGTTGGTGGAAAGACGTTGGTCCGAGGACATTGTATATTAACAGCGAGCAAAGTATTCATTTTGATTGGACGATGTCGTGTATAATTTACCCTTCTTTAAATATGTCAGTTTGTTCGTCCTCCTTTTGCCGCTCTCCTCGTTTATGCAGTTCAAATGATTTTCTAACTGTATTATATTATTAATGCGTGGGCACTTCCGAAGGAAACAATTAACGTTGTGGTTCAGGAAAGCTGTCTTTTTTCAATGAAATAAACACGTTGCGCAGAGTCATGAAAAAAACATTTTATGAAATTGTAGTTTTTTTTGATTTAAACGCTCAAATCAATGAATCGCGTTTACGTGACGCATTATGCACCCAAATTTCAAAATATGGTTTTTTTGGTTGCACAATTTTGCATGTAGTTGAGCATGTAGCTTGCCGTTTGGATACATGATGGATGTTTCGTATGCTTTTAATGCATTCAGCTCTTTAGTCATTTGAGCAAAAAAAGTGTGTTTTTCTTTTACTAGACTAAGCTATATGAACAAACCAGTATTAGAATTTGTATTATTATCCCCTACTTTTTTCTACCAGTCCTAAATAACAATAAATTGCAAAAATATTCAAAGCAAGCTTTAGTTTTGCTTTGCGGTATTTATTAAAATCACTTCTTGATGAAGAATCATGTTTTACTTACTATTTGTAATTTTGGAATTAATTTGGTTAACATTCATTATTGAGTGTAGTCCACATAATCGTCGCTGTTATTTGGGCACCTTGGCTGCACAAGTAAAGAATTTAATAGAGAAACCGAAGAAACTAGAAGATGTATTATTGGCTGATGCGCTTCCTCTTGCCGGTCATAGCATTTTTTTCCACGAGACAAGTTGTCCCTCAACAATTAATTCAATTAGCAAAAAATTGCCGACGGCAGAACCGAAAAAAAAAAAAAAAAATTACGGCAACTACATAGAATTAACGGCGCGACAGGCTTGCTCAGTTGAATCTGCTGCTTTCCACAATTCCAAAACAAATGTATATGTTCTTTATGCCAGTCCACGTTATCAATTGCCAAATATAACAGCGGATCCCATATTGAGTGCCGTGTTAAGTTATAAAAATGTACATTTACGGAATGTGAATATGTGGACTTATGCGGCAACCACACCAATGTATAAATGGCTTAAAGGTGGAAAACTTTTCAAATCCAGGTATATTGTGGATCAAGAATATTAGTTGTTTTCATAATTAATTTGAGATTTCAGCTATGTTTTCTCACATGTGTCCGACTTTTTACGCTATTTAACATTATGGCGTTGGGGTGGCACATATCTCGACATGGATACTATAATGTTGCGTTCTATCGAAAATATGCCACCAAACTTTGTCGGAGCTGAATCAACCTATTATTTGGCTGCAGGGGTGATGAATTTTGCACCCGATGGCCTTGGTCACAAAATATCCAAATTATGTGTTTCCGATTTCGTGAGAAATTTTAAAGGCAATAATTGGGCCAATAATGGTCCTGGTGTTATAACCCGTGTAATGCGAAAGATTTGTGACACTGAGACAATTGCACTTATGTTCGATCCGAAACGTTGTAAAGGCTTTTATATATTTGATCGAAATATTTTCTATGCGATATCTTGGGAAGAGTGGCGTGATTTTTTCGAACCAGAAAAAATGGAGAAAACATTAGGACGCATCGATCATTCGTACATAGCTCATTTGTGGAATAAAATATCCGGCGACTTTCCCGTTAAAGTAGGCATCAAAAGTGCTTTTACAACTATGGCCGCAAATAATTGCCCGCATGTATATAAAGCAATCATCAATCATTTCTCTCATTTTTAGCCGCACTTACGTTTCAAATGTATATAAATGTATATTTTTGGCTTATCCGTATACTTGCTCGTGGTTATATCATATTTTTCCATGAGACTTCTTGTTCTTCAATAAATAAAACTGCCACCAAAAAGCTACGAAACGCAAAACAAAAAATGAAAAATTACATTAACTAGGTAGAATTAACGGCGCGAGAGGCCTGTCCAGTTGAATCTGCTGCTGTCCGTAATCCCAAAACATCCCGCGTTATCAATTGCCAAATATTACAGTGGATCCAATATTGAATTCGCGGAATGTAAATATGTGGACATATGCGGCTACCACACCAATATATGAATAGCTTAAAAATGGAGAAATTTTCATCCGCCTATCCATTTGCCTGTTCATAGGCAAGTCTTCTTCTGGGCATTTTCACCTTTTGAAAATTGTGGTACACATGTTAATGAAGTTTAAAACAAAGTCTACTATAGTAATTAATTAAGCGAACTTTAACGAACTGTTTTGTTCTCCTTTCTATTTCTCTGTCCCGCTACACGTAACTAAATGTTGTCGTTTTGTAAAGCGCTTGGATGAATCGCCCATCTTCGCGATAAAGATCGGTTTGTTTTGCAATAACGAACAGTATCTACTCCGAGTTTAAATTTCTGCCAAAGCAGAATCAACACCAACTTTGAATCTCTTATGACTTTTTTGTGAACGCTGGTAATGGAAAAAGAAAATTTGTTAAATCTTTTTATTTTTTATGCGTGGCCATAAAAACGAATAGATTTTATTACGTTTAGTGCTTACGCACATGAATGCGTTTAGTTGAACTAAACCAAACGTATTTTGTCTACTAATTCGTACAAAGAATCTAACAAAACCAAGCAGTGGAGGAAGACAAATATTTATGTTTTGTTTGAAACATAGATTGGAATCCGCACATGTGTGTGTTTCTAGAACACATTCTATATGTGTGAGTGGCTGGTGTTTTTGTTATGAAACAGAGTGCAAGTAAATAGCATAACTTGCATGATAATCAGTACTTGTAGCAAGCATTTGATAATTAAGCCCCAAGTGTTCACTTGCGTAATTGAACTTTTCCTTCATACGAATTGAACAGTTTATCATATCAGTTTGCTTGTGTTTCATTACCATAATCGTTAGGCGGATATTTGCGATACAATATTTGTGTTGACATATGTGCGTAGCTCCTAGTTAAACGGAAAATTATAAACATTTAATCAGAAAGCTCTGTTAATTCGACAAATTACTTCTTTGTGTTTGAAATATGGTATATTTATAGTTATCACTACTGCTGCTAGTAGCAGATGGCGATGGTAAAAACGCAGACAAGGTTAAGACTCGGTTAGGTCTTTGTAGGAAATATCTTCTTTATTTCTGACGGAGAATTTTTTTTTTTTTGCTCAAAAAGAACGATATAACTGATGTGAAGATTGCCGCCTCAGAACTGAAATCTGCGGTGATATATATGTGAATCAGTTAAAGGTACGACCATGTTTTGTATAATGTTTCCACATATTGAGCATTAATTTGTGTGCTTGATTTGAAACTACTTCGATTAAAATTTGAAAATTTGTGATGTGTGCAAGTAATATAACAGAGAGAGAATCCATACCAAGGGGCAAAAAAAGGGTCAAAAAATTCATTTTCTTTATAACTTCGTACTTTTCAAAATAAACTTAAGTTTTTTTTTTTTTTTTGAGGACGAACACTGTGAAAAATGGTTTTTCGAAAGTTTTTGACAAAACTCCTGCAATAATATTCCGACATTCTAAATTGATATGAAGAAGTTGGCTGCGGCAATTTTTTGAACCCCCTTCCCTAACGAAGCCGAATTTTTATATGATAAAGAGGCCTAACTTTTTATGAAAATTGTCTCATAATAGTAAATTTACAAAGAAATCAACCTTACTTAATTTTAACTCCATGGGTTTATTTTTTAGATAGCACCGCATATAATGATTCTTAGGAAGTGTTAGCCCTTATGTGCCAAAAAAGCCTAATTGTCAATGTTTTCTAATGAAAATTTGTTCACGATAGTAATTTGACATGAATTTGGTCCAAATTTGGTCCACATCATTTAGCTTAGATCGCAGTCCATACAAGATTCTGCATGAGAAGCAACCCCTTTAAAAAACTTTTACCTTTTAATATTTTATGGTGAAAATTGATTTACAGTAGCTAAAAAACGAAAAAAAATGAACAGTTGGTAATTTAGATCACATAGATCTATTATATTGACCTTAACACATATAGGGATTGTCATCAAAATGGTGACAAAGTATAATTCCTGGTTTTTCATGAGTTGAGCTTCTGAAGCCATATTTTTCGTTGCGTTCCAGTGATGTTAAAATTATATTATCTAACTCTAATTTTGCCAACCATCTTCACGTAAAGAGCGCCGCATTTACCTTTTAAAGTTTGGACACAACGGACCAAATTGTAATGCACTAGATCGTATAACAATCGAAGAAAACTTGATTTTACTTTCTATACTTGCCCCCACCAAGGCCTGTTAGATTTGTGGAAGGGCTTGACATAGACCCACCTACGTTATGATAAAAATTGTGGAATCAATATCAGCCTCTCTGCCCATCTGTTCAAGTAAATTTGTGTGCTACCTATAGGGTGCAACTTTTGGGATATTTTGTTGAAATTTAGCAGATCAGCATGGTTTGGCCCAGTGAACGCTATTCAAAACCTTTTTCGGTACTTCTCCATAACGTTTTATTTTGAAAAGTCATTATATGAATAAATGCGTTGAGCGAAGTAGTATAGGGCCCTTAAAGAAGAAGTGTAGCTTTATTTGTTGCTTTTTACTTTTTACAAGGCATGAATGGTATATTTCACCTTTCTGTATCTATTTTTTTTGTTTTAATGATCCTAAAAATCGGAAGAGTGATCGACGGGCATGGCAAAATAATTCAATAGCTTATTACTATCGTAAATACCTGCCTTATAAGAGTTCTGAGATATACTTTTGAGTGACAAGATTAACGTCCTTCGATTGGGAATATAAAATAATTCATTGATCCATTGATGCCTAAGTCTTGACGATTCATTCCGAGTGCTCGCCAAGCAAATGGAGAGATTTTGTTAAAGTTTAAGTGTTAAACAATTAACTCTGCATATTAATGCAGTGTCCTTTAGATCACGATTTGTCGGCGAGTAGTCTTAGTCGTTAATAATGGATAAATGAAATACTTCGCATATCATTGATATGGCACTATATTTTATCTTTACTTCAACCACCAATCCAATCGTTTAAGTTTTTTTTCTTTCTTTTTATTTTCATACAATAAATTTAGTTAAAATACAAGTCATGACAAATATCGATTTTTCTGCTCTTCTAGATAGACATTGCTCGCAAACCAATCAATTGCATTAAATTATTGCACAAATATTTGCGACAGATTTGTACGAACTTTCTAAAAAGACTGGACTAACCTTGAAAGGTATATTAACCTGCAATGTATCCAGTTGTTATGCAAGTGAATTTGGTCAATTCGCCCATTATAAATAGCTTACGTCACTTCAGCTACACTTGATAAATCGCAAACTATTAACGGCCACACTTGAAATAATCACAAAATATGGAAGGCTAGACTTCATTGCCCATATCAGTACTTACTTTCCCTGAATGTTCTTATATGAGAGAGGGCGCTGAAAACTATGCAAATCTGATCGATATTTAATACGACGTAATAGAATATTTAAAGTGCAAGAATTTTCATGGTTCCATAGCAAAGGTTTGGCATGACTTGAATTTGTCAAACGGCTCTAGATCAGGTTTACAATTCTACGCTTTGAGTTAATGGTTTCCTGTTTGCTTTATCAAAATTGTAAATTGGGAAGTTTAGGACAAAAACCAAAAAATTTATTATAAAATTATCTAAAACTTTACTTAAATTTATGTCACATTCGTTGTTGTGTCTGTTTGCGAAAGAATGTCATATTGACGTCATCATTCTCTCAATACTTTGTGTGCTTAAATGAATTGACACTTTAGGTGTAGCTGCGTTTATCTCTTCGGCCATCGCAAACTTTGAATAGTAGTCTACCAACGTGGTGTTGCTCAGCGTAACCGTATATTACATAGCACAATATTGGCAACACGAAACGCGACGACACGCAAGCGAAAAAGTGAAAAGTATGTAGAAAGAAGAAACGTAAAACGATTACGTGATCGGAAATTAAATGTTTTTTACCAACTTTTTCTTTTCTTAGTTTTCTCGTTTGACAACTTCGAAGTAAAAATTGTAAGAGTTTTTAAGGTATACAATATGTATGTGTGTACTACACACGTGTGCACAATTTTAATTCAGATTTTTTTTGATAAAAAAAAAAAAGGAAAAAAATCATACATTTTTAATATGCTAATAAGATGTAACACAAATTAAAGGAGGAGTGAATGGGCGAACTTTGAATTCTGGCAAATTAAAGTAGAAGCTAGCGGGCGAACTTCGAATACCTGCAAATTAAAGGAGAAGTGAGCAAGCGAACTTCGAATTCTGGCAAATTAAAGGAGAAGTGAATGGGCAAACTTCGAATTCTGCCATAAAAGTCAGCACAGCATGGCATGGGACAGCCGTGTGAGCAGCCGAATAAATTTGACGATACATTTTCTTCCTAATCGACATGTGGATACGACTACAAAAAAAAAAAAAAAAAAAACTTACAAACATTTACACAAGCTTAATATTTCGAAGATTTTTCGCGCTAAAATTGAATTTTGGTTTTTTATACCCATCGCCGAAGGATGAGGAGTATATTCATTTTGTCATACCGCTTGCAACACCCAGAAGAAAGCATCGGGGAACCTACAAAATATATATATTCTTCCTGTCCGTCTTTTATAAACATTCTCTTGGGCGCAAAAACTAAAGCTACCGGTTTCAAACTTGGCACTGGAAACACTAGAAGTTCTTGTCCGCAGGTTTGCATTGAAAATGAGGCAATGCGGTCGTAGGATATGCCTACACCACCGCGTAAACTAAAAACATAAT